TAACTGATGCAAATCTGTGCAGGTGTAAGTGATAGTCCAGAGAGCCTGGCTGGGACTCTGAAAGCAGGACTCCGCTCCCACAAGGAGGGACCTTTCCTTGATCAATCAATGGATTGACTCATTTATTCATTCAACAAATCTTTCTTTTTTTTTAAGATTTATTTATGTATTTTAGAGAGAGAGTGAGAGAGAGCAAATGGGTGGAGGGGCAGAGGGAGAGAGAGACAAGCAGATGCCCCTCTGAGTGCAGAGCCCGATGCAGGGCTCAATTCCAGGACCCTGAGATCGTGACCTGAACTGAAATCAAGAGTTGGACACTTCACTGACTGAGCCACCCAGGTGCCCCTCAACAAATACTTCTTAAGTACTTACTACATATGTCAGGCGCTATGCTGGGCGCTGGGGACACAAGACTCAATGGCAGGGGCCTGCCTGGGGAAGCTCAAAGGCTCCCCACAGTGACGCAGTGCCTGTTGGATATGGAGATGGGAGGACAAGGGAGATGTCCGTGACAAGCCCGGTTTTCCAGTCTGGGCACGTGGACGGCAGGTGGCGTCGTTCTTTGAGATAAATGGGGGGCACGCGACATCTCAGGAGAGAAGCTTTGGGTATGTTAATTCTGAGGTGTTTGTGAGAAATCCAGTGACACTGTGTAGGCCGTCGGGTATGTGGGCTGAAAGCCCCTGGGCAGGCCCTGGCTAGAGGCACGTCTGTTTGGGAACCGTGGCGGTACAGACGGTGGGACTGAAGTAAAGAGAGGGCGGGCCGCCCGGGCAAGAGGAGGCGTGGGGTAAAATGACAGGAAGGCCCAGGACTGAACCCTGAGACACTAACGGTTTTTCTTTCAACTTTTTTTTTGACATAATTTCAGACTTACAGAAAAGCAGTGAGGCCATTACCAATATTTCCCACATACTCTTCACCTAGATTTCCCAAATGTTAATATTTTACCAGATCTTAAATTCTTTTCTATGTATATACATATTTTTTCCTGAGCTAATCCAGAGTGAGCTGCAGACATGGCTCTCCTTCATCCTTATACACTCCAATGACGCTTTCTTTCTTTCTTTAAGATTTTATTTATTTATTTGAGAGAGACAGCGAGAGAGAGCACAAGCGGGAGAGAGGAGCAAGCTCTCTGCTAAGCAGGGAACCCTATGTGGGGCTCGATCCCAGGACCCTGAGATCATGACCCGAGTGGAAAGGCAGAGGCTGAACCGACTGAGCCACCCAGGCGCTCCATCTGGTAGCTCTTTCCTAAGAACAAGGACCTTTTCTTTCATAACCAGACAGCAATGATCAAAATCAGGAAGTTAACATTGCTACCCTATTTTTAACCAGCTACAGACCTTCGTTCCATTTTGCCAATTTCCCCAGTAATATCCTTGATAGCAAAGGAGAATCCCAGCTGCTGTATTGCGTTGAGTTGTCCTCCCTCTTGAGTTTCTATTGATCTGGGAAAGTTCTTTCCTTCAGTGTTTCTTTGTCTTTCATGACATTGCCCTTTTCAGCAAATACAGACCAGTTTTTGGTAAAGTGAATCTTGATTTGAGTTTATGTGGTTTCTTCATAATTGGGTTCGGGTCATGCATCTGTGGCCGGAACAGCCCAGAAGTGATGCTGTGCTCTCTCAGTGCATCCTCTTGGAGGTATACCACGTTTCTCTGGCCCACTGTTGGTGATGTTAATTTACACCACTTGGTTGAGGTGATGCCTGCCAGGATCCTCCCTGTAAAGTTACTGTTTTCCCCTTCGCAATGAATAAACTTAAGCCAACATTGAAAGGTCAGGTTGAGGAGGAAGAGCCAGGAGGAAAGCTTGTGAAGGGGCAGTGGGGACATAGGAACAAGACCAAAACAGCTCGGAGCTGGGAAGAGGCGCCTAAGGGAGGGAGTGGTCGGTTATTGGGTCCGGGGCAGGTGGGAGGCCAGTCCAGCAGGGGTGCAGCTTCCCCAGGCAGGTTGTCATCTAGGGGGAGCGATGGCCTGAAGCCAGCCTGCAGAGAATAGAGACAACAGGGAAAACGCTTCTCAGGGAATGTTTGTCTGGATGGGGCAGAGAGATACAGGCCCTGGAGGAAACGTGTGTGTGTGTGTGTGTGTGCGTGTGTGTGTGTGTGTGTGTGTTGGGGGAGTCAAGTAGATGGTTTCTAATACGTGGAAGGGACGTAGGGTACGGAGAGTGTGATGGGAGGGGACCACGTGAAAGGTCAACCATCTTTGATTAGGCAGAGGGAATGGAAGAAAGTGTTGGTGGGTCCTCCTGGGCCGCAGGAGGCGGTGGGAGCCGGGGGTCCCGATGGCGTGGTGGGGTGGGTTTGGATCAGAGTCCCGTCTGCTGGCCTGTTTCCACTGTTGGGAAGGAGGGGATGCAGGGGGCTGACAGGACGGCTGGGCACGCAGACGGGAATGAGCCACGTTGGAAACGACCTCTGGGGAGAGGGCGAGAGCAAGCTGACCAGTGTGGACGTGGACAGTTGGCAGCATGGTGACAAGTCTGGGGTTCGGAGGCCGTGATACTAATCCCAACAGCTTTTCGCTGCCTTGTGCAGGCAGACAAGGCAGACCTGGGGACTCAGCAGCCGGACAAGGAGGGCAGGGAAGGCAGGAGGGGACCGAGGGAGAGAGAGAAGGAGCGCAGGGAGTGATGGGGTCTCGGCGTTAGCAGGCGATTTGTGCATCCAGACTAGCAGAGTGACAGGATGTCGGCCGCGGTGGTGTTCCAAAGGGAGGCGTACGGTCAGTGCCGTGGGCCGCGGTGAGCAGCTCAGGATATGCTGGGGGGAGGGGGCTGTGAGGGAGTGGAGGGGACGTCCTTGGAGAGGAGGAGTTCTGGGAACTGGGAGGCTAAGGGACGGGTGGTCCCCGGGAAAGCCTCAGTCCCCCGGGTGATGGCAGGGGCGAGGCGGGTGGGGAAGAAGGTAATGAGCCAGGGCCGCCAGGTTTACGAGTCAGGACAGATGGCCACCCTGAGCAGATGAGGGGGGCACCCTAGACGCTGAAGCCCTTGAGGGGTGGTACTTTTTAAAGGGAGGGGACACTGCCCCCGGGTGAGTACCAAGGAGACCAGGGATCCACTCCACCTTGGACTCTGAGGGGCAGGAGTGTGAGAGACAGAACAAGCAGCTTTGGAGAGGACCAAGGCTGTCTCCAGGGGTGAGCTAGGTTTCTGTTAAAGCTGGAAAGAAGGGAGCATTTGGAGCAGAAGTAGGGTGGCTTGTGATGGGCTGGGGTGTAGGGTGGCTCAGCTGCCCCCAGAGAGCCAGGCACACAGGCGACAGACGGGAGCAGTCCAGGGGGCCGGGGGCGGGGCATATTGTAGGCAGGCTCCCTGGGTCTGAAATACTTGGAAACTCCACCCCGCCTGCCGCCCCAGATCAAGAAGGTGGAGGTCTCAGCCCCACATCTGGCCCCTGTCAGCATGAGGGAACCATCAGGGCTTGAGCCCAGCAGGCCCGCAGCTTCCTCCAGGAAAAGCTGACTAGGATGGGGGTGAGGAGGCGGCACTGCCCGTGGCCCAAGGCCAGTTGAGGCCGGGCCAATCCTAGCCTTGCCCAGCCCTCTCCCTCCAGAAATCAGAGGAATCAGAGGCTTGGCGGCCCCCTGGGTGATGTGAGGGACAAAGGGGAGTGTCTGCGGCCACTGGGTGGGACCCTGCCCTCTGTTCTGAGCCATTCAGTCCCGCAAGGGCTTCTGGAGCGCCCAGCACATCTGGCCTGTCTGCTCTGAGTCCTCATCGTGCCTGCTGGCTGGAATGAGCTCAGAGCGGGGTTTGGTTTCCATTAGATCAGAGGCTGTGAGCCAAAGAGAGCCCTGGGTTTGTGTCCCGGTTCTGTCTCTGCTCCTGATATAATGGGAGACTTTGGGTAAGTCCTTGCCCCTTTGGGGGACTCAGTTTCTTTATTTATGTACCAGGACCGTGAGAGACACCCTCTCTAAAGCCAGGAGTCATCTGTTCCCAAGACAGAAACCCCTCTTAGCTGGTTCGGATCAAATCCCCAGTCTGAGCTATGAACTGGTGGGTGCAGGCAGGCCCTAGCGCCCCAAAACCTCCTGGGTTTTAGAGGGTGAAGGCGTCCCCAGCATTTCCTCCACCCCGGGGCTCATCAATCAATCATTTGGCAGTTGGGTGTCTTCTCTACCCCTCAATGTTCCCTCTCATACTGCCCCTACCCCAGGGGGTACTCTGGACCAAGGCACAGGAAGTGCCTTGCTTCTTAAGGCTTCAGTGCCACCCCTCCATCCTCCTTATTTGCTCCCCATTCCCTGCCTGAAATGCCAGCAGCAGGCAAGCAAGCATTCCTTGAGCTAAACATGGATCTCTAAAGACACTGTGCCCTGGGATAGGAGCCCGGGAAGCTATCAGTTACAGTTACACCTTAGTGTGAAATAATTGGTTTGATCATTTTCCAAGGGGAAACAGACAGAAGGGAGGGCGTGTCCAGAACCTGGGGGGATAGATGGGAGGGGCAGGGAATAGAGGGCCACCCCAGGGGACTTTCCAGGCTGTGGGAACCTTTCCCCCAGGATCCACCCACACATTCCTTTCCTTTCTTTGACTTCAGGGCACCCACCAGTAGAGAAGAGCCGGCTCTGTCACACCCCCTCTCCCTTTTCCTTCCCTGACTCGGGGTTCTGGGCACCCTCAGGCCATTGTAGCCTGGTTGGGAGTAGGGGGTGGTGGGGCCTAGTTTTCAGGGTTCTATAGCTGAGCTGCCATGGTAACTGGGGGAAATAAACACTCTGGGTTTCACAGCCCAAGTTCTGCGGTGATGTCATCCCTAGCTCTAGCCTGCTAGGTCCTGTGGCTGGCTGCACCCCAGGCGGCCTCAGCTGCTCAAGCCAGAGGATTGACTTCCTTCCCAACCCCCAAGCAGCTTCTCGAGTTGGGGAGAGAGTGGACACAGGGGTTTGAGCAGGGGCATCTGGAACAGGCTCCACACAGGCCTAGCCCACCACTTGGATCTCTCAGTAGCTATTGCCCCCTCCTGGGCCCCAGCCATGAAACTGCCCAAGGGGGCCAGGAACTCTGTGTTCAATGGGCAGGGCCCAGAGGAGAAAGTTCAGGTGCCCTCATGGCAGGAGGTAAAGCAGACCCCTGTGATCATGGCAATGATCAAAGGTGAGATCAGACCCCTGTCCTGAGCTTGGATTCCTCTCTCTACAGGGCTGCAGAAGGTGCCCCAGCCTTCCAGCCCTGCCTCCCGCAAAGCTCCTGAGGATTCTCCTCCAAGCCCTCAGAAGATCTGCACCTTCAACCTGAACCCCAGAGGCAGTATTAGCTGCTGGGACTTTTCATGGGGGTAGGAGTGGAAGGGAGCATGGTGTATGATTTTCCAGTTTTGGAAAAAAGCTAGGGATTCAAAGGAGGTTTTAGCCCACCCTTAGTTTTCCTCACTTCCCTCGAATCTTACCCTTCACTGAAAGCAGACAAACTAATTCTTACTACATTGTTAATGACTGATTGTTGGTCTATGTGGGAGGTGGTTTAGTATGCGATTATATGTTTGCGGTCTCTTGGCTGATTGTCTCAGAATTTTCACATTACAAGACTTGTGTGACTTTGAGCAAACTGATATTTCTAAGTCTCATTTTTCTCATCTGTAAGATGGGAAACACAATAGTATCAATTTTATGGAGTTGTTGGGAGGCTTAGCCGAAATAATCCATGTTAATACATAGTGTAGTGCTTGGCGCAGAATAAGTTCTTGGTTAATTGTAACTATTATCTTTCGTATTACCCATTGCCTGTCTAAGATGGATTGCATTTTATCTGGGAACATTGTCTTTCCCCCAAAAGAAGCTCCATGGTGGGATTTGCGGCGGTGTGACGTCAGCAGAAGGAAAGATCCCAGTGTTCTCATGGCACACTGCGTTCAGGGCTTCCCCTGCCTCTGATCCCATGCGCCGAGGCTGAGGGCTGCCCTGTCCATCCTTGCAGGTCCGGGCCCAGCCAAGTACCTCCGGCCATCTTGCACTGGCTACTTCCACCATGACATCTCCATGTTCCAGGAGCCAGCCTATACTCTGCACACCAGACACTCGGAGAAGCGTGAGTGCTCACCACGCCCGTCATCCCCTCGGGCTCAGGGTTACCATTGTTGGATGTTTGGGGCGGCAGTGAGAGGTAGGGAGCCATTACCTGTAGCCACGGGACCCTGGGAACCCAGGCTTGCCCTGCAGAGGACACCCAGGTAGCTCACTGGGTCCTGAAGGAAGCCAGCAGGGATGCCCAGGTGACCCACACCTCCAAAGGCCGCTCTGTGGGGAGCTCCCAGCTGGACCTCCTTCCGGGAGCTCTGAAGGGCGGCTGGCGCTGTCCAACAGGCAAGGGAGAGTCTCCTCTGTCTCGTCTTGGGCCAGGGCCCCTCAGCTCTGGCTGCTGTGTGTTCACTTGTCACAGAAGTTGGGCAGAAATAGCTGGGGAGAGGGGACTCTGGTGGGAATGGTGGCCCTCCAAGCTTTGCAGTTGGCTTAGAACCCCCTGGAAGGGCAAGAGCAGAAAGCCGTAGAAGAACTCTAGCTGCTGGTCAAGGCCAGCAAGAGGAGAGGGTGGGCAGGGGTGTCAAGCCGTGTCTCTGGGGCTCTGAGATTGAGAGGCCTGCTGGGTCCCTCCCTGGCGTGACATGGCCTTCTCAGCAGGGGAACCGTCTGTCCAGGGCTGGGCCCCTTCTTAGTACTAACAATAGCCACTGTACCTATTATTACCCCTTGGCACCAATCCCCGATGGGAGCTGACCGAGCTGCTACACAGCTGTTATTTTATGTGCTTCTCTGAGCAAGTTCTCAAGACTGGTAGGTCATGCATTAAAAGCCCCATTTTGCAGACGAGGAAATCAAGGGTCGGGAAACACCTAAGAGCCCAAGGAATCGGAAGCGAGCCCTCATTTCTCTACTGGGCAGAGGGGATCTTCACCCAGAGGCAGGCCAGGCTCACCCTAGGGCGTCCTCTGGGGCTGACTGGGCCTCTCTGTGGCTGCCTGCAGGGGTCATGGACATTTGCAGCCCTGGGCCTTGCTATTTCTTGGATCCCAAAATAACCCGGTTTGGAATGTCCAGCTGCCCGCAGGTTCCCATGGAGGAACGCATCTCTAACCTGCGTAAGTTGGGACGGGAGAGGGGTGTGGGGGTTGGGAGGATGGGGAGCGGGGGTCCACCCTTAGGACCTGAGCAGGGACAAAGGGTCATGACTCCCCTTTGCCAGGTGTGTCTTTGGATCCTGGCATCTCCCTGCAAGCTTATATCAAGACACTGATGTCACCATGTCGGTGTCACAATACTGAGGTCTTGAAGCCAATGTTATGCATGTGTGGCAGCAGGCAAGGTTATGATAAAAATGTCATAGGGGCTCATGGTGCATCAGGGATATTGCCATGCTAATGAGCTCACAGACTGTAGTGATTTCAGGATGTTTTCTGGGTGCTGTCACGGGGATGATATCAGGATGCCGACATCCCAAGGGTGACGTTCTGATGATACTTGTGATTTTTATCTTATGATAGCAGTGTCAATCCTGATGTCACTGTGACCTAAGTCCCTCCCCCTGCCCATAGCCCTGTGCAGGGGTGGTGATGTCCCTGCCCGACGATAAAGTGGTTATAGTAACGTCAATCAGGCTAACCAAGACCTCTTACCTCTCGACCTGGACCCATCAGTTGGACACCAGGAGACGTGGCCTGGCTCCCCCCTGACACCTTTCCCCTCCATTTATCCACTTTCAGGCCTGAGGCCCAACCCAGCCCCCTGCCATTACTACTTGGAGAAGACCCACCCACCTGGGGAACGCAGGGCTCCCCAGTATGCTTTTGGCTACCAGTGCCCATACAGAGTGATGGACCCCAATCCAGCCCCCAACCAGTACCAGCTGCCACTCTTTCTGGGGCCCAGCAACCCTGTCAGTCGAGCAGCTCCTTGCTATAGTTTCGCCTCGGGGCACAAGAACTGGTTCTACAAGGAGAACGTGGCAGGAGGCCCTGGGCCGGCTGTGCATGCCCGGCCTGAGCCCTCCGTTTACCAGAACTGCAGCCCCGTCTACAACATGGCCAAGCGATTCGCCTACCCGATGGACCACACACCTCGGCCTGGCCCAGGCTCGCACGACGTCCAGCAGGTCACGGTGCACAAGCCCCGCACACCTGCTTTCACCATGGGCATCAAGCACTCACCCCACCTGTGCCCGCTGGTCATCGACATTCACGACTAAGGCCCCTCCTGGGGCGCTCACCCACCCCTTCCCACAGAAGTTATTTTTCTATACTGAACTGAGCAATTTACCAAGGTTTCAAGTAGTAGAGCTGGTGCCTGGTGTGTCTAGCGCACAGAAGGCGTTAGATAAATATTTTCACTTATTTAGTTTTTTGTTTTGCAAACACGGTTGCTTCCTCTGGGGCCTGCCCTGGGTAAGGGGCTGGGATCCTGGGAGGCATTGTAGGGGTCCCTGTTTGGAAGAAGGTCTGTCCTGGCTCATCAGGGGAGGCAGCCAGGAGCCCTGGGCAGAGACTCTGGCCAGCTACGTTCTAGTCTGAACTCTGCCACTAACGTGCAACGTGGCCTTGTGCAGCTTCTGTCCTCTGGGCCCCTCAAGGCTGCCCTTGGGACAGTGAGGGGGGAAGCGTAGGCCTGGAGCATGTCCACGTTCCCTCCAGCTCCACAACGGTGTGACTGTGGTTCCTGAGGGGTCAGTGTGCGCAAGGAGCAGGGCAGAGGACGGAGGGGTCGTCTGGTCAGGGACCGGGGTCGAGGGGGTTTTTCCTGGCAGAAGGACACGAGAGGACAAGTGGAGATGGTGTGTAGCGGGGTGGGGGGTTACTCTTGGTGTCTGTAAAGATGAGAGCAAAGACAGGCACATGGGACCGAAGTGCGCAGGTCAGGACCCTGGGGCAAGCTCCGAGGGCAGGAGCCTGGGCTGCAGCAGGTTGGCCAATAAGAGGACCAGGTCGTGGGCCACTGGAGGGCACTCAGGCTTCGTCCTCAGCGTGATAGGGCTAGTTAAGATGCGTGATTTTCAGGATTCTTTGGGCAGTGAGAGAAGGTTGGACAGAAGGGGCAGAGCCTGGAGGCCGCAGTCAGCCTAGGAGGAGGCAAAGGAGACCAAGCAGACTGCTGAGAGAAGGGACTGCTTGCCGCATGTTGTCTTTGGAGAGCTGCTTGTCCGTCCCCCGACTCACCAGCCTCACCCTGGCCCTGCAGTGCGGGTTAGGGGAGGAGAGGAGGAGCCCCCCACTAGCCAGGAGGGGGCAGTGTTGCCTTACTCACCAGTCCAGGCCTGGCCCACCTGCCCCACCCCACCCCTTCCAGCGTTGCCGCTTTGGGAGAGAGATAGGTGCCCGCTCTCCTGCGGGTCTCCGAGGAGGCTGGGGCCGAGTTGGAGCAATATTCAGGTTTTAATTGAAAATGAAAGTTGAACTGAAGACCTAACTTCAGATAGAAAGAATCAGAGAATATCTTTGGAATATTAAAACGGCAGTCACAACACTGAGTATTTTTAAAAGGGGCTTGTAGGAAAGCCCACTGGGATCGTACCTGACTCTGGGCCCCGAAATCCCCTGCCCCCTCCCCCACCGCGCTAGCCCCCAGGCCTGGACTGGGGACCAGTGGGAGCCCCCACGCAGGCCTGGGGTGTTGTGTCTGTCCTGTCCTCCCCACTCCTCAGCGAGGCCGGTCTGGGCAGGCTCGGGAGAGAGCCAGTGAGCCTGGGGACCCATCTGTCTTGCAGCAGATTAGAAAGACGTCATTTTGCCGACAATGCCATTTATCACGGCGGCTGCAAAAATTAGGCATGCTTGGCCAGAAGTACTGGGTGGGGGTGGGGGCTGGCGGGTAGCAGCACCTGCTGCTGTCCTGTGTCGCCGGGTCAGGGAAGCTATAGGCCGACGTCTGAATCGGGTTTTTCGGATTTAGTGCCTGTCCCATTCCAAGGCCCTGCATTGGAAAATGAGGAAACTAAGGCCCAGAGCCAGGGAAATAATGAATGGCCTGTCTCTAAATAAAGATGTAGGCTCAGTGTGAAGCTAGGTTGGGGTCAGTCTGTGACTAGAGTCAGGGCTCAGTCTGGGACAGACCCTCAGCTTGACAGGCTCCAGCTGCCACCAGATATGGGTAGGGACTGGCTATTAGCCCCAAAGCTAGAACTAACCCTTGGTTTGTGATCCCAAGGGAAGGGGAGGAGGCTGCAGGACTCAGAATGAGTCTTTGGGGGATGAAGATGTTTGGAAGAGAGATGACCCCGCCAAGAAGGGGATGTGGCCTCTGGGGAAGAGAATGGGACTTCCCTTGCGGCTCAGCCCACAGAATGACAGGGTCATTTAGCTTGGGATTGACCTTTTGACAAGGCAGTCCCCCTCTCTTGGCCTTGCCTCCTCTGTGGTGGTGACTGGGTAGGTGACCCGCAGAAGGGTGGTGGGCACGGCCTCCCAGACCTGGCTGAGTGCTGACCCCACCCCTTCTGACTCGGAGCGGGGCCGGGGCACCCTTGACCTGGCGGGAAGCCCTGGTCTGAATTCTCGGAGGACTTAAACCTGTGCCCTCAGGTACTTGGGCCCTGGAGCCTGGCCTATGACTCACACAGACATGCTCGTTCATTCATTCAGTAGACTTTTGCTGAGCTCCTGCCCTATGCCAGGCTCTGGCTGCACCTGGGAGCACCAAAAGACGGTGAAGGCCCAGCCGTACCTCTAGGTGTTCAGAGAGTGGCTCATGGGAGGATGAGAAGCAGCTCTCTCCAGTCATGAGCAGACATCGGAGGGTTGCTGAGGGTCCAGTGAATGGCGGGGTGCCCGCCAGAGCTCTCTCCCTTCTCTCCGGGGGCAGGGAGAAGCCTGGCCTCCATGGGTCGCCCCTGCCAGGGTGTGGTGGTAAAACTACAGTCCCATGACTCTCCCGGACACTGGCTGGGGGTCTCGTTCTCTGTTACTCTGTTGTTGCTGGACAGACCCTGAGTGCCAATTGTCTCTCTGACTCCCAGGAGCTGGGAGGATGGTGGGTGGCCCTGGGCCAGGAGCAACAGGGGCCCTGCCTGAGAGACACACTGACCCATCATACATGGGCACACAGGTAGGGCTCGTGCAGAAACCCACGTCCCTCATCCACGTATATACGGAGACGGACTCACACTCCCTGCAGTACGTGCTCACACGTGCATGCACACCCACGCACACGCAGACACCACACCTTACTCTTCACACGTATACCCCTGATACCAGACCCACTCAAACACGGCTTCATATTGCACTCACATGGAAAGACAGACAGACAGACACACACACACACACACACACACACACATGCACGACACATGCACACAGACCCACAGCACACACTAGGGCCGCCTTTTCCTGCCACACCCCCTCTCCAGGTGCCTCTTTATCCCTACAGCTGCTCAGGCTCCCTCATGCCTCCCACTGCCCTGGAGAAGTAAATAATGAGAACACCCCCCTCCTCTCTGCAGCCCCATGCACAGGTGCAAGAGGGGGTGGGGTGGGCTGTGGAGGGGAGGTTGGGACAGTCTCCGTGCTCAAGAAGGAGCTGGGACACGAGCTGGAGGTCAACCATCCAATCTGGGCCAGGTCATTGTGCCTCTGGATGGGGTGCATTTGGTTATGAGCCCTTGTCCATGAGGACAAGCCAGATCCCTCTCCCGGACTCCGGGGGCCACCCAAGGACAGGAGGCCTGGCATAGGCACTTCTGCCACCTGACAGCCCTGTTCCTGGTCCTTGGCTGGGGTGCTGTTGGGGTGCTGGTTGGAGAGCATATCCCCGTGAATTCCTGGGGCGGGTCAGAAGCTGCATGTCCAAGCTCACCCGAGGCAGAGTGTCTGCCGGGTCCTGCTCCTTCCGGCTTCTCTCCCTCTGTGTCCAGCTCCCCCCACCTGGCTCTTCCCCCTCTAACTCTTTCTGCCTCCCTCTGGCTCCCCTTTCTCTTCTCTCACTCTCCCTCTTGCTCTCCCAGTCCCTCGCCCCTGTTTGTCCTCGGGAATAAAGACCGACATTTTCCATTACCCCCCAAACACCAGAGCGGTTCCAGAAGGCCCTGACGAGGACGATTGTGTGCTTGTGCGTGGCCTGTGGGTAGGTGTGGGTGCGGGCCACTGTCCTTTGTTCGCTTTTTCTCTTCTGGAGTCTTCATTTCTTCCTGGGGGAGGGGAAGCACGGTTCCCTTCAGGGGAGGAAGGGAGACAAAAGAGATAAATAAAAAACTGTCATCGTTGTCTTGTAAACACGGTACGGAGTGCAGAGCGGGGCTCGCAGGAGGGATGTGACGGACTGAGGGAGAGGCAGGGAAGGAGAAAAGAATAGCCACCACTACCTCCGGGCCTGGGGCGTGTAGGTACCAGGCAGGGCTGCGAAGGGTGGAGAAGAATGAAAAGGTTGACCTGGGAGGGTGGGAGGCCCTCCGGGAGGGAGACCCTTAGACTGGGGAGAGGGGCAGGCTGGAGGGGGCCTCCAGGAGGCGATTCTCCTCTTGAACATCCACCCCCGTGCCAGGCTCTGGGGACACCGAGGGGTGTCTGCTCTTGGGGGGTGTGAAATCTACCTGCAACAAAGCAGTTCAGCACTTACAGAAGCTGAGAGTCGGGGGGGGGGGGGGGCATTCCAGGTACCCCCCAGCGGGGGGGGGGGGAGCACCAGGATTCCAGCCCCAGTCTGTCCCTTCACACAGCCTCCTCAGGGGGCTGGTGTCTGGGAAAGAGGGTTGGAGACTTGGCTATGCCACGATTGGTGTGTGACCTAGAACAAGTCCTCCCCTCTCTGGACCTCAGTTTCCCCATCTGAAAAGTGCGGAGAACTCTGGCTGCTCTGTGGGGCTGGGGGGAGGATCAAATGTTTGGATGTGGGTGGTTTCCCAGCTCTGGTTCCCTGGAGGAACCGAGGGTGTGGAGGGGCAAAGAACTCCCCGTCCTGGGGGTGGGCCTGGCGGGCAGGAGCTGCGGCCTCAGCAGCAAGAAGGAGGCAGGACCCCAGCTTCCCTCCCTGCTGCTGCCCAGTGGCAAGATTTGGGTACTGCAGGGGACGGGCTTGCCGGTGCCTCTAGTGAACGTCCTCTGGTCTTCTCCGGCCCAGTTTGCAGATGCCGAGAGAGGGAAGGGACTTGGCCTCAGGTCACTGAGGGAAGAAGCTTGGGCTGGTATTGGCTTTCAGGGCAGAGTGCTTCCCCTCAGCCCTGTGGTGCTCAGGAAGCCCCCAAGTGGCCTCAGGGCAAGAGTG